ATAAGTAAAGAAAGAAAAAGAAAGGAAGGGAGGAAGGAAGGAAGGAAGGAAGGAAGGAAGGAAGGAAGGAAGGGAGGGAGGAAGGCAGGCAGGAAGGGAGGAAGGAAGGAAGGAAGGCAGGCTAATAAAACCTTGCCTTGTCCACACAGTGCCCTTCTCAGATTCACATTCCCTCAATTTTTCACATTCTCTCAGTTTTTGCCCTCAACAGAGCATCCTTACAGTTGGAACAAATTGTAGTAAGTACTCACCGAGATCCCGTTTTCCCAAAATCAACTACACAAGAAAATAGCTGAAAACTAAAGGTAGCATGTATTTCAGATACCAAATTTAAAACTTTTCAGCTATATCTCTTTATAGTGAGCCAAAGCTGCACAACTACCACCCACAAATTTCATGCCTCAACCATCCATTATGTGAATAGGACTTGAGATCTGGCATGGTGGTGCACACCTATAATCCCAGGGCTTTGAGAGGCTGAGACAGAAGGATTGCATGTTTGAGCCCAGCCCAGATAGCTAAGTGACTTAATGAGATCTTGTCTCAAAATAAAAAAATAAAACAGAAACAGCTGGGGATATAGCTCAGTGCAAAGGTCCTGGGTTTAATCTCCAGTAACACACACACACACACACACACACACACACACACACACACGGACCAGGATACAAAATGTGTTGGTCTGTTGGAGTAGTGCTCTGTGCTGAAATGGCACTCCTTAATAAAGTTTAAAACTCAGAGGGGCACATGAATTATGACAATGCCCTCATATAAATATTGCTGAATCACTGGATGGGCAAAGTCTGTGATGGTGCTGAGATTGAATAAATGGACAGGAGAGAGAAAGTGAAGAACAGAGGTTTGCCCATTGAACCACCTTCACACATGTTTGATACACTAAGAAGCAGAGTTTCTTGTTGATAGAGTGGACACTGTAGAAAGTGGGTGGATTTACTCTACTTGAGATCTCCCATTCTAAAGAACTGTGCAGAGAGAAAAGCCCACTAATACATACAAGAAACAAATAGAGAACCAGTTTTGGGGCAGCTCCTACTCTAAGCAATGTCTGAAACCACACCACAGCTGGACAGGCTCATAAGGAGACACTGGCTTCTTTTATCTCCAAAACCCAAGTGTATCAGTCAGGGTTCACTGGAGGAACAGATATAATACAAGATAAACAAATGTACAAGGAATTACAAGTTTGGCTTACAATGGTCAGCTACAGAGTTGGATGAGGAAGTGTGCAGAGGGTGTCTGCACGCTGGAGATTGAAGAGTCCAGCCTCGGGCCTGGAGCTCGCTGCAGTGTCCTTGCAAGTCCGTATCAAAAGGCTGATGAGTCTGCGACTGCGACGGAATGCTGAAGAATCTACGCTGAAGGCCGGAGAGCCAACACCAGAAGGCTGAAGAGTCCAGATGGAAACCCAGCAGTCTGCACCAGGAGCCAGAAGATGACCAAGCTGAAGGCGAAAACCAGAGCTCCCCTGAAGAACCCCCAGCCAGTCCTTCCTCGGTTCCTTTTATTATGCAGTCTACGGGCTCTAGGGAGGTGGGGGTGGTCCTCCAAACCCACACCCTCTGCATGCCTGCCTCTTGCACAGGCTCAGGATGAATACAAATTAAGCACCCTGGACCCCTTCTGAGTTGCATAGTTAACCTTCTAAACTTCTCAAATTAACACAATAAACAACATTCCAGAAGGGTAAGGGCGTGTCCTTTTCACCCCAAGAGGCAGAACTGCTGAGTCACTTAGCCAAACCTCTAGACTCCCCAAGTTGGCACAGTGTATCAACCATAACACCAAGATAAACACACACAAAGAGAGAAAAAAATCCCAGCACTCTGCAAGGTTGAGGTGCAAATACTATGAGTTCCAGCCCACACTGTGCGACTTAGTAACATAGCAAGAGCCTGTCTCAAAATAAAAAAGTAGAAGAAACACTGGGAGTGCAGCTTAACGTGAATGCCTGGGATTTAATCGTTGCTGCAACAAAAATAAAAAATAAATAAAAATAAAGGCAGAAGCAATTGAAAGAGATAGATCATACAGCCCCTCCTCTCCCAGCTCAGGCCTCTAAAGACATAAATTTGCCCTGATTTACAAGAAAAGAAGGAGAATTTCAGCTCAAAGACTGAAGTTTTGAACAGAACAGATTGTCTGGGTCTTAATTATCAAATCAAGACAATTTGATTATTTAGGGTGATGGTAGCAATGGAATTGACTCATGCAAATACAGAGACACTCCTATTCTCTCACTTCCTTTCCTTCTATATCCAGTCATTCACCAATTCCTAATGTCTTAAAAGCCCTCAACCTGTCCTTAGTTCATGCCCTCGGCATCTCCTATGTGTGTTCTTACAATGCCCTCCTCCTAAAAGAGCCGTTGTGAATCTTTGTGCAGGTTGTGATTGTGCCCTGTCTGAAAGCACCAGGGTCAAGGAGTGAGGGCTGAAATACAGTCCCATTCAGCTACCAATATCAGAGTAAAGGGACACTGTTTGATCACTTGAGTACCCAGCGTGGGCACATTGTTCTGATTTACAAGTTATTTTTCTGATTCATACAAAAGTTCCTAGGTGTACAACCCAACCCTGTTTCCAACTACTAGTCACTTTCGAGCCAAAGTCTTCTTAAAGTGTGAAGCTCAGCCTGTCACTCCACATTCTAAATCCCCATAATGACTATTCTTTGCAGTGAGTGAGCCCCCAACCCTTTGATGTTACCAATAATGCATTTCAAATCTTTGTTCCTGCTCACCTCTGCACTCTCAGGTCTCATAATTCCTCCCATCATGTCCAAAACTCCATTTTCCCTGGACCACCTTTAACCCCATCTAATTCTTATCCCTGAGGTTCACTTTGGCTCTCTGCATCCTAATTGTCATTTATTTTGCCTTATTTCCCTCCACATGGTGAGATTCTTATGGGCAGGAAACAATCCATTATTTGCATTATAGCTTCAAGGCCATCACCTTGCTCAATAAGGAAATATGTTTTAAATGACAGCAGTGAATCCTGTCTTCTCTCAAGTGGTAATTAGTCTGGGAGCTGACAAAAGGAACCAGTAACTACTGATAATCATGGTATAAATTACAGAAAGGAGCAAATATACTTCTGGACAGAAATGCTAAGTCATACGATCTAAGCTGAAGGAAAGGACTTTGAACTATATCCTCAATGTACTGCAACAACAAATTTTGCTCTAATGTCTCCTCTTGGTTAATCTTGCAACTGGCCTGTATTAAACAAAGCTATGGGAGCATGTAACAGGGACAGTGTTTGGACTACTTTCTTTCACTAGGCCCCCAGCAGACCAGATCAAACCAAAATGGAGTCACTTACTCTTAGTAAAGCAGGTAAACCCCAGAGAAGACCAGTTTTTCTAGATTCACAGCAACCAATCAGAAAGAACACCATCTAGAGCAAAGTGCTGCCTGATTCCAGAATCACAAATAAAAGCTAATTAGCTCTTCAAACTCTTTTTTGGGTAATTTTGTATTTTGACACCTTCAACCTCTATTTTGACTAATTCAAATTATATATGAAGTTTCTTCTTCCTAATTTATTGCTGCAATCCCATTTCCTATATATTGGCACTGATGAGAAAAGTTACCTGTCCCTTTATTAACAAAAATTTAGCCTGGCATATAGTAAATTCTGAATAAGTAGACGTTGAATGCCTAAGAAGAGTGAACTGTTATTCTACAGATGTTAATCTTTAAGTGACATTTATGTCAAATAAAACCTTGTTTACATGACCCTTTTTTACTCTTTGCTTTAGAGCTTATTGCATGAAAGCTTTCTTTTCTGTCAATTGCTAGATGAATTTTTATGAGTCACACATCTGTATAACTAGCATCAATAACAAGAAGAAAAATTACCAACAACTCAAACTCTCATATCCTTTTTCCTTATAGTCATTCTTTCCCTCAAGGTAACCATTGTTATGACTCTGACAGTATACATTATGTTTGTCTGTTTATGTACTTTCTAAAGCCAGAATCATGTGACACATTCCCTTGTGACTGCTATCTCTTACTCAAATTTATATGAGGTTCATCTGTGATATGAGTTTTATTTTGTTGATTATTATAGTAAATTATGAACTTTTACAGTCAATATGTTATCAGAATAAGCTACATCCAAGACACTCCCTTACTTTTTTTGCTTTTGAGGTAAGGTCTCACAAAATTGCTAGGTTACCCAGGCTGAACTCAAATTTGTGCTCCTTCTGCCTTAGACTCCCAGAATGCTGAGCTTACAGCCCAGTACCACCACATTTGGCTTCAGGTGTACATTTTATTAATACATTCATGTTTTATGTTTAAAACTCTTGTTTTAAAATGTAATGATTATGGGGGCTGGGGATTTAGCTCAGTGGCAAAGCGCCTGCCTGGCAAGC